ACGACGACTACGACTACGGCTACGACTACGACTACGATTAGTAGTAGTAGTAGTAGTAGTACTACTACTACTACTACTATTACTACTACTACTACTACTACTTCGCATCCTCTTCTGCTCCCCCTCCTTCTCATCCTCCTCCTCCTCCCCCCTCCCTCCTCCTCCTCCTTCCCTCCTCCTCCTCCTCCTCCTCCTCCTCCTCCTCCTCCCCCTCCTCCTCCTCCTCCTCCTCCCCTGCCCTCCCCGGCGTGCTCTCCGTCGCGACAGTGCAGGCTCGCGCGGCGCGCGCGACAGGCGCGCCCTCGCCCTCTGCGTTCCACCGTTCTATTTTTGGGCCTGCCTCTCCTCCTCCTCCTCCTCCTCCTCCTCCTCCTCGGGGGAGAAGAGAGGATGGGTAGGTCTTCTTTTCACTCCTCCTCCTCCCCGTCCTCTTCCGATGGACTTACCAAAGCCCTCGAAGTCCTTGATGGTAATGGGAATGGGCACGAAAGAGAGTAACATCAGGGATGTGTTCACAGCGCGCAGCAGTGACTCAAGGGCCCTAGGGTCTGGGCCGCAACGTTTACGGAGAACGCTGTGCGGACTGCGGTTCTTCTCTAAAGCTTGTTGGATTCAAAGAGGCGGAACGGAGAGGTCGCGCAAGATGTGCGACGATGACCTTGTTAGGCCCCGGGGCCCGGGTACAATGTTGCAGAGAGCGGCGCAGGGATTCTCCAGTCGCTCAAGAAGGCGACCAGATATTGTTTTTTGGGGAAGTATTGTGCGGCATCCCGATTCTCCAGTTCCTCCATCCTCGCCTTTAATGTTATAATCGCCCAATGGGGTGAGGACCGAAGAATCGCGATTCCGCCCAATACTTCCCAGTCGCTTTTCGGAGCAACCAGATACTGTCGCTGGCAACTGGAGAATGGTGAGTTCGCTTAGGACGTCCTCGGAAAAATTCTCCGGTTCCATTTCCAGCCACCGGAGACTGGTGATTTCGCTTGGGGCATCCTTCATACCATGATTGTAGACCCGATGCATGCGGGCAGCAAGTGACGGTTTCGCTTGGGATTTCCTCGCAGCCACATGTGTCGCCCCGTCGGATGCCGCCCGAAAGTTCAGATGCCGTGCCAGACCTCAGCGTTCAGTTCGCGCGTGCCAGCGCGCCGACACTGCGTTATCAGTCTGCGCGCGAGCAAGCGCGGATATGAGTAAGTCTGACCATGCCGCTTGATGATGAGTGGATCTGCGCGTGGAGAGGGTCGGGGTGCGTCGATGTTCTTTATCGGGGTCCGCACTTGTTTGATGCAGCAGGTGGTATCCTCTCACTGCGCAGCTCTGCATACAAACAGATGCGCCGCGTATCTCCCCCACCCATCGACGCGTGGAAAAGAATTGAAGTGTGAGACATGGGCAGAACACAAACTTCGAAAACTAAACATATTGATGCTGCGCTGCTCTCACGTGGTGATCTTCTCCCTTCTGATCACCTGCTCGGTGGTAAATTCGCTTGCTCGTCGGAACCCTTGGATCTAGTGCTTGTACCGTCAGGTGTCGCCGTAGAGCTTGTCTGTCACCTTGTTCTGCACTCCCACCGCTCTTGCTGTATGCTTATCTCTAGAGTTGCTTGCCATTGGCTTCGGGCTTGGCGAGAACTGTTGCCTGCTTCTGCTCAATATCCTTCGCCTTTCGCCTTCTTGCTGATCCTCGCGAGCTCCCGTTTCTTCGCCCGGAGTGTAGCCAGTTTCATCTTGTAGGTGTATTCGGTTTTCGCCTCGTGGTACCTGAGTGTGGGATCTGCCACAGCGATGCCCGTGACCGTGTTCAGCACGGCAAACCAGAGTACGATGTTGTCACCATCGTTGATATCCTTTTCGATGCAGCTGGTCGCTCCGGCCGCTGTTCGGCAGCACCTCGATGCGAGCACTGCCAGCTGCATGAGGGGCGCGGCCGCTCTCCTCGACGCTCGTGACGTATCCGCCCTCGTCTGGTCGATGCTTTCCTGCCGCTCCTCTGTGGTCTTATTCTTGGCCGTCGTGTATCAGCCACGCGCAGAGGGGGGCGGGGGGGGAAGGGCTTCTTAGAAGCACCCCTGGTTCTTAGTAGAAGGTGCCTCGGAGGTGGATAGACCTCCTACCCTGACACGTCGATTGAGGAATTGGCCGTTTTTTGTTTGCGAGAGGGCGTCACGGCCATCATTTTTGCGGGTCCAGGTCCGTCGGTGTCGGTCCGAGGCCGTTTTCATCAAGGGGAGCTTTATGAAAGGGAGGTTTGTCCACCGCCGAGTGCCGACCTTATCTATAGATGTAAGGCAGGCGCCTTCTAAGAAACAGCCTCCTTCTAAGAAGCCCTCGCCCCTCCCTCCACCCCTTGTGCGCGTGGCCAGTATCATGTTGAGGAATTCCACCCATGGTTCATGGCCAGCCCGGTGAATTTGGCAGGACTGCTGTAAGAAGCGTGCCCACATGCGAAAGCTCGAGCCTTCGCGCGATGACAAGGCCGCCAGGCCTCTAGGTGCTGCTCTGGGAGTTCACCTTCAGGTGGGAGCCCGCCTCCTCTTCCCCCCTTTCCTCCTCCTCCTCCTCCTCCTCCTCCTCCTCCTTCTCCTCCCCCTCCCCCTCCCCTGTCTCCTCCTCCTCCTCCCCCTCCTCCTGCTCCTCCTCCTCCTCTTCCTCCTCCTCCTTCTCCTCCTCCTCCTCCGCCCTCTCCTACCTATAGTAGTGATGGTGGAAGATCGGCTCGTCATCTCTGGAGGCAGGCCCATCCAGTCTCCAGCCCCCCCTGCCCGTGCCATGCGGCCCTGGCAGGCTGGCTGGGGGCAGAAGGGAGTTCACCGTGGAGACCGCCGCCCCTCCGGCCCCGCCTTCCCCGCTGCTTCGGCCAGATCGGAGGCGACGATGGGGGCGAAGAGCCCAGGGAGGAGCAATACATGTATCCAGGGGTGCCGATGATCTATGTCTTAGACAAGGCTCCCGGGCGAATGCGTGTAGTGCCCGCCCCTGGGCTACTCGCCCCTATCGTCGCCGCCGACCGGAGCCCGCCGCAGGAGAGCAGAATCACGCCCCCCGCGGCCCCCCGTCCTCGGAGGAGGGCCACCTCGCGACCGCGGTGGCCCTCCCGCCCGGCCCAGATTTGGTGACGATTTGTGCCCGGACTTACGTCGGGCACGTCCCCCTACAGGAGAAATATCCGAAAGTAGTCAACAAAGCGTATGGAGACGATGTTCTCTGTACTTGTTTTGCTATGTTGGAGGATGTGTTTGTTTTCTATATTTGATTTTTTCGTTCAAGATACGCCTGTAGGCTGTAGGGAGCCCAGACCCCGCTCGTGGCCCATGCTGACCAGTTTTTCGAGGCGGCTCTAGCAGCGCCGACGCGGAGCATGCGGGAGCCTCGAAGAGGGAGAAGAACACCGGGAAGGGCCGCCGTTGCCTCCGCTGGCCCTCTTCCGATCTATGTCTCTGATGCTCCTACCAACTTTCGCCTTCACCACCAGGAAGAAATTTCGAGCACCAAGAAAGTATTGAAACTCGGGGGTTTTCACGCGTCGGGCCCTGGGAGACACTCGTCCGACACTGTCTCGACACTGTTTCGACACTTTTCCGGGTGCTCGAAATGACTTCTGGGATGTGGTCCGTAAGTACGAGGGGAGCAACGCAAATCTAGGGCTCCCTTCTGGCGCATGCGCCCCCCGGGGCCCGTCTCCTGCCTCCTCGGGCCTCCGACGGGCTGGTCTCTTTCTTCCCCTGGGCGCGGTTTTCCGCTCGTCCCCCCCGGGTCCGTTCCCGATCGCCATGGAGGAGGAGGAGGAGGAGGAGGAGGAGGAGGAGGAGGAGGAGGAGGAGGAGGAGGAGGAGGAGACAGGGGAGGAGGAGGAGGAGGAGGAGGAGGAGGAGCAGGAGCAGGAGCAGGAGCAGGAGCAGGAGCAGGAGCAGGAGGAGCCGGAGGAGCAGGAGGAGCAAGAGGAGGAGCAGCAGCAGGAGGAGGAGGAGGAGCAGGAGGAGGAGCAGGAAGAGGAGGAGGAGGAGGAGGAGGAGGAGGAGGAGGAGGATAATACCGGGCCGAAGTTGAAGGAAGTGCTGGGTCTGAAAACGGCCAGCCCCTCGCGTGCGTGGCTTCCCCACCCCTCCCCCCGCCCTCGCCGCCCCCTCCCGGCCCACTCGCTTCGGGGGGTGCCGGCTGTCCCCCCCACTGCTCTTGGCTGGCCCCCGCGTTGCCTCTCCAGCTTGTCCCGGGGGAGCGTGCGCGCCGGCTCATTGGGGCCCAGGATCGGCCCAGCCAGGGTGGGCGGGGCGGCTCGTAGTTGGCGTTGGCTCGGGCCTGTCCCTCTACAGGATGAATATCCAGAAATAGTGCAAATATAGTCTGGGGGCGATTTTTGAAATCATTGTTGGACTATTTTGGGATATTTCCGGAGTATTTTTGATGTTTCGTCAGAAATCCCCTTGTATGGGGGACAGGCCCGACCTAAAACTGGCGTCCTCCGACTCATCTGCGTGCTGTCGCTCCCCCGTCCTCGCTCCCTCCCCGCGGTGTTCTCCCTGCCTCCTGCCACCCAGGCAGGGACGGGACGGCGTGGGCTTGAGCCGCCTGGGCCGCTTTGGGCGCCGCCCGGGGTGTTCCCAGGGGCCTCCCGGGGGCGCCCTGGGGGCCGATCGGGAACTGCCCCGGGGTTCTGCCTGGCTATTTCGGCTGCAGACATGGCGGCGGGCAGGCAGCACGTGGGCCGTGTGAAGATCTCGCCCCATCGGGCATCTTTCAGGAGGGAAAAAGCACACAGACACCATGAATTGTCGATTCCCTCGAAAATACGGGAAAATATGGGAAGGGGGGGGGAAACTAAAATGACAAAAAATAAAAATATGAGGAATCCTGAGATTTGTGCCTGCCGCGCTCTGGGGAGAGACACCTCCCCCGATCCTTGGATTTGGCGACCGCGCGCCAAATCCATGGATCGCTAATCCATCTTTGCGCGCCCCCGGGAAATCCACAAGTTGTCTGTCTTTCAGTAAAACCGCATGTTAAGGATAGGCAACTTTCCCAAGGTTGCCCTTGCATCCCTGCCCCTTAGCGGCCCATCCTTGGCGCGTCCGCTGGCCACGCCCCGCTCGCAAAGTGTCGGCATGGCCTTCCAAGGCCTTTGCATCCTTACTGCGCATCCTTACTATACGGGCTGACTGTACTTCCACCCGCCCAGGTAAAACACGAGTAGCAAGCTAAATTCGAGATGGGTGCAGACCGCTGTCCCGTTGGCAGCAGCTGATAGACATGGTGTGCGCTACGTGTTTGGGGTCGTAGGCGCATCGCTGGCGCTCTCGCGTCAAACTTGGCAGAGTTTTGCTAAGCAGGAGAGACGCGCCGTGCACGTTGCAACGACGGTGGCACATATGTCTCGTTTGCGCGAGTCAGAGTCGCGCTCGAGTCATCACCTCGGCCACGGCTGTTGAACGAGAGTAAGGCAAACTGAACCTTGCATTTAGTCTTGCCACTGCTGGCGTGGGTCCCCAGTTCAGGAGTTGCAAGGTTGGAGAGACGGGGCGTGCACGTTGTGTGGCTCTCGCGTGGGAAGGGGGTGGAGCCCACACGCCTTACCCGATGCGGGCGCTCGAGAGCCGCGTGTCCGCTGCACCACGTTGCCGAGGAGGAGACGTGTGGCACGCGCTGTGCTGCTGCATAGTAGTGCTGGTCATGGTCCACTTGCGGTCCTAGCTGCCAGCGTGCCTCGGCGCAAACATCCCATTGGTGATTCGATCTTGTAGAAAAACTGGGCGGGGTCTGTGATGCTCGGACTTGTAGGGCGGAGAGCCAAGAGGGGGAGCGATGCCCATCAGCAACAGACTTGCAGGCTCGGGGAGATCCGGAAGAGGTTCGGACGCAGCCGCTGTCCACCCTTGCCCCCAGGGCGGTTTAGATCTGATGACCTGAGCGTTGTATCGTTCAGTGCTTAGCCATCTTTTCGGGGACCTAGGGCATCACCAGGCAATGCAGTAGATTGATCGCGCATCGATCCGATCCCTGGACTGCAGCCATTGCGACGTGGTTCGTGCAACAGCTGGATTCTGGTACTCTGGGGCAGCCCCGGCTTCCTCTGGAGCGGGCGGACGTCTTCGCTTGCATTTGACCTCCACGGAAAAGCTGGGGAAGGTTCGCGATGCCCTCCACGACAAGGCCTTCCAGCTGGGCTCCGAGATGGTCAGCCTGACGGTGTCCGACGATGCCTCCCTCGCAGAGCAGGCAAAAAACGGCCGGAGGGGGGCGCGCCGGCAGGCCGCCCCCCCAAGCGCCGACGGCGCAGCCTGACCACGGAGGCCTCCGCGGCCTCAATTCGCCATCCTGGCGGTGTGCATCCAGTCGTCTATGTGGATTTCTTGTTCCGGCGAGTGGTCCTGCATATTTCGACCTCTTCTTCTTCATCTTCTACTCGCCCTGGGGATCCACGTGCTCTTCTTCCTGCTCTTCCGCATGCTCTTCCTGCGGCTGCTTCGCTACCTCCTGCTCGTCCGGCACCGCGAGTCCGCCATCGCCGCGTTCCACGTCCGCCTGATGCTCCACCCGGAGCGAGTGCGCCATCCAGCGCTTCCCCACCTACCTCTTCTACATCTTCGGAGGGATCTCCGGCCGGGCGCCTGCCTCCGCAGCCGCCTGGCACGCTACCGCGGCTGCCTGGCCCGTATGCTGGGGACTACGAGGGAGTTGCCTGGAACTCGCAGGGATTCTTCATGTCGAAGGCCGCCGGGCATGCTGCGAAGCGCCGCTTCGCACAACGTCTTCTTCAACGTCGTGATTTCCTTGTCTTGAGCGAGGCGCATGTCACTGAGGGCGCGGAGGCGGCTTTCACGAATCTGCCTGGGACGTCCTCGTGGTGGTCGCCCGGCACTGCTGCTCGAGCTGGGGTCGGTGTCATCATTCGCGACGCGTTCTTGAACAAGTTCCGGCTCCGCGAGCCCGAATGGGTTGTGGTCGACGCCGGCCGCCTTGTCGCCCTGAAGCTCTGCGGCAAGGAGGGCTCCCTGGATATCGCTGCGTGCTACTTTCCGACGGGCGTCGCTCGAGCTCTTCACCGCAACTCCGGGGAGCCCCCAGCCGCGCTCCGTGTGCAGCGAGAGACCCTTTGTCGTAAATTGCCCCCGCTGCTTCGACCAGAACTTGCTTTGTTCGTTCTTGCAGGCGACTTCAACTTCGTAGTCTCCCACGCTGATCGCTGGAACAAGTCGTCGGGAGCGCACAGCGGCGACAGCGATGCGGCCGAGGCTGGTCATTGGCGCCGCACGCTGCCACCTTCGAGTCTTTACGAGTTGCACCAACCAGAGCCCACCCATGCAGGGCCCGTCTCGTTCGCTCGTCTCGACCGGGTGTACGTCAACCAGCCCGTGGCCGACCAGTTGGACAAATCGATTTTCTCTGTCGCTCTACCCTGGACGAGCTTGTCGCACCATCGGCCTTTAGCCTTCGGCCGGTGCTCGAAGCCCATCCGGGCACCGCTGGACAAGGCCATCCCTGAGGCGATCGTCCAAGACGAACGCTGGCCCGTGCACGTTGCGGACGAGTACCGATCCCTGATGGAGCTCTCGCCAGAGGCTGGCCCGCTCATCCGCCTGCGCCGCCTCAAGGTGGCCATGCGGACGGTATCGGCTCGCCTTCTCGAAGAACGGGCTGCCGGGGACAATATGTCCGCGAGCGAGTCGCCGCTGAGCATGACGATGGCTGTGCTACGCCGGCTGGAACGGCACGGCCTTGCAGATGTGCCCGCGCTTCGTGCCAGGTATCCTGTGCTTCGTGATTTTCTCTCAGATGATCTTCTTCAGCATGCTCCTCATCGGTGTCTGTCTCGCCTTCGAGAACACGCCGTTGGCCTTGCGAGGGCGGATGTTCAGTCTTCTCTGCAACGCCTCCACGATGAGGCGCACGGTCTCCCCGACAACGTCCTGCGGCAGCGTCGATCCCAGGTGTTGCTGCAGTTCAAACGCATTGCGCCTGGGCGTTCGACGTCGCTGTCGGCGGTGGCAGGTGCAGACGGCGCCCTCCGCACAGACGGCCCCGGCATGGCCGCGGCCATCAAGGAGCACTGGAGGGATACATTTTCCGCTCGTGCCTTGGATCGCACTCGCCGGCGGGAGTGGTTCCGCGAGGATGCCGGTCGCGCAAATGGCCTTCGCGCTGCTGCTCGCCAGATGCTCGGCGACACGTCTGCCTGGCAACTCCGCCGATCAGACATTCGACGTGCAGTGTCGTTGACAACCTCCTCTGCACCTGGTCCGGATGGAGTGCCGTATCTGGCATGGCGGCGCCTTGGGGCCCTAGCGGTCGACACTCTGTTCGATGCGGCCGTCGAGCTTTCCGAGGAGCATGGCCGCGACTCCCTGCTGGAGGCGTTCCCGCTGGATGCCAGCGGCGACACGGCGTTCAACTCGGCCAGCATGGTCTTTATCCCGAAAAAGACGGCACATGAGGCCAACGGTATCCGATACCATCTTCCTGGAGAGGTCCGCCCACTTTCCCTGGTGAACACGGACAACAGATTGATGGCTAATGCTTATCGCTTGCGGGTGGAACCGCTGCTCGACAAGATCATATCGCCGGCTCAACGGGGCTTCTTGCCCGGCAGGTCCATGCTGCAGAACGTCGTCGAAATTGACAGCGACATGAGGGCGGCCAGCTTACAGGCCGAGCAGCCGGGCGCGGTCTTCTTCGACTGCGCGGCGGCGTTCCCGTCGTTGGCGCACGACTTCATGGAAGACGTGCTGGAGTTCCTGGAGCTCCCGCTGCCGTTCCGGCTCTTCGTGTCCAATTTGTACTTCGGCAACGGCTGCAAAATCTCCGCCGGCGGGGAGCTGCGCGAGGGCTTCAGCATCCGATCTGGGATCCGCCAAGGGTGCCCATTGTCACCTGTGCTATTCGCCCTCTGCGGCGACCTACTGCTCCGCCGCTTGCAGGGCTCGCTGCCGGGCGATACGCTGAGGGCGTACGCGGACGACTTGGCCTTGGTTTCGCGGGACGTCTTCCTGTCGGCGCGCTGCTTTGTCCCTTTGTTTTCCGACTTCGCCGTCATCTCTGGTCTGTCGCTTAACTTGGGGAAGACCGTCTTCGTCCCCCTGGGTGACACTTCGGTGGACAACTTTCGGCGCCAGCTTGAGGAGCGATTCCCGGGGTGGGGGACCGCGTGCGTCAGGGATTGGGCAGAGTACCTGGGCTTTGTACTGGGGCCTGGCGGGCGCTCACGGCGCTGGCAGAAGGCGCTAGACAAGTATACCAGCCGCGCCGACCTGTGGGCGCAGCTTGGGCTTGGCCTGCATTACACCACCGTGGCGTACAACGTGTACGTGGCCTCGCTCCTAACCTTCCTCCTGCAGCTCGAGGTCCTTCCGGAGGATTGGGAGCGCACTGAGGCAGCAGCCCTCCGTCGATCGGTCCCTGGTCCTGCCCACTGGGTTCTCCCCGCTGACCTGCGAGCTCTACGGCGGCATTACGGCATGCCTCAAGAGTTTGCGGACATGAACGAGGTTTCGCTGGCCGCTCGTTTTCGCGTCGCTCACCGGGAGGCTGCAGCTTCTGGTGGCTTGGCCGTGGCATCGGCAGTTCGCCGCCTTGACAGGTCGATCGCCGACGCGGATTTCTTCTGGCGCTATGTCCGGTGGTGCTCCTGGTTTCAAGGTGCCTACGTCCGCAACTTGTCTGCGGCAGTGTCCACGTTCCAACGCGTAGGCATCGCCATCCAGACTGTGGAGGCCGACTTGGGAGCTGACGCCCCGCTCCCCCGCGCTCGCGGGCAAGCCCGTCGCCTCGCCCACGGCGTGCAGCGAGCGGCTCGGGCAGCGCGGTGCCGCACGTTGCGCAGCCACCCCGAGACGAGACTCAGAGCGAAGTTGGCCAGGTGGCGGCTGCCGATCTATCCGCGGCTTCGAGCCATCCGCGGGTCTGCAGTGCTGCAGCGTCTGGCCCGGCTGGTGCCGCCTCGCGTGGTCGCCGCAGTGCTTCGCACGTGGTTCAATGGCTGGTGCACGGCCCGCCGTTTCCAAGCCCATGGGCGTTGTCTGTTCGGCTGTTCCATGGGGCAGGATTCTGTCGACCACTACATGGGCTGCCTCATGCTACACCGCCATGGCCAGCTTCGACTCCGGCTCCGCGCTGCGCCAACCTTCGAGGAGCGCGGCCTGAGGTTTTTCCTCCTCGCGGGCGCCCACGAGCTCCCGGACGTGATCCTCACCCGGCGGGCCCTGTTGCTCGCTGCGGCCTATCGGCTGCATTGCCGGTGCCGCCGTCAGCCGGCTTTCTCCGACCACGAAGTTCTACGTCGCGCACTTGATCAGGCGGTGAGAGAGGCGGCTCAGGGGCACGCTGGGGCTCTCCGCGCGGTGGACAGCGTCTGGGCGGACGAGGAGTTCGGCTTGTAGCCATGAGGGCACGTACGCGCGCAGGTGCGCAACGAGCGCACCAGAGGATTTATTAACCACAGCTTGCGCGTGTGATGGCACTCTCCCTCTCCCTCCTCCGCTTTCCTCCCTCTCCCTCCCCTCCTCCCTCCGCTGGGATGCGACACGCACGGCACTCGGGCAGTGCGAATGTTTGCCCCCCGGGCTGTTCACTCAGTGTTTGCCCCCAGGTGTGTTGCATCGGCGACGGCGGACTGCGGCCGCAAGCGTGTGCGCACGTCAGTGCTCCCTCCCCTCCCCCCCCTCGTCCTCCTCCCCTCCCCTCCCCCCTTCTTCCCGCTCCTTCCTCTGACGGTGTACCGGCCTATCTGGCGATACTTTGCCACGGAACCTCCCAATGAGGCACCGCACCAGTCCTTCGACATGTGTTCTGTTGTGCGGACGTCGGGTGGCCTGTGTCCCGGCCGCGTGGCCGAGGCCCCTGCTCGTGATGCTGTGCTCACCCCTCTGCTGTGCAACGTAAGGCTGAATAGACATGGCCGGAGCGATGCACGAGGTGATCGGGTGTAGAGGTGATTTCTTCTTTTCCAGTGCTCGGTAACAGAACCGGTTGCAGTGCGCAACGTCTTCTATCCCACTCCATGGGATAAATGGTTTCTGTTTTATTCCTCACCTCACGCTCACACGCCGGTGCCGGGTCAGAAGGCCCTGCTGTGCTCGATCGCGCTTCACATACCCTGTTTGGAGGGGCTGGCTGGCGGACTGCCGAGGCCCAGCCGAGAATGCTTGGCGCATCGAAGCTGCTGTCGTGGGTCGCGAGGTCCGCTAAGGCGCCAGCTAGGGTGGCTGGCAGCGGCTGGTGCCGTCGTGCTGTTGGCCATCACTGCTGGTGCCTGAGTGGCCCTCGGCCTGTGCGGAGGGCTGCGGGACCGTGACGGGTGACGGCGGGAATCCCGCGCCCTCCACCTTTTCCCTTGCCTGCCAGCCCTCTTTCGATTCTGAAGTCGCGCCTCGATCCCCGCTTTCGCCCCCTCCTTCTCCCTGAATTGCCCGTGGCTGGTCTTCCGAACGCGGCCCGCAGTCTCGGCGGCGCTTCTGGCCCCGCTGCTCCTTGCCAGCCGCATGCCCCAGGTGCATGCCCATCGGGCGACTTTGCATGATATTGAAAATCTTCAGGCTGAGCCCAGCTCGTCTATTTGTTTTGGGAAGTGCTGCCTTGAGCGCGTCTTTTCTCCTCGCCTCCCCTCCCCCGGGCTCCTCTCTTGCTCCGTTGTGGATTTATCGACGTGGCCATTTGGGCCGCCAGGGGTGCATAGATCTGCAGTGTTCGATTTAGTCCCAGGGTGCGAGTGCATGCGTCGGCTCACCTATTGCAGGTTGGCTTGAGCGTGCTCTTTGTTTTGGGCTTGATTCCCTAGGCTCCTCACCCCCCTCCTCCTGCGCTGTTTCACCTCTATGCCGGTATTTGTCCACCAGCTGCTGCGCAATGCAGCCGATTTTGAAAACCACGTTGACCGCTCCTCCCTCTTGCCTCCTCCTTCTCCTCCTCCTCCTCCAGGTTCGTGGTGACGTTTATCCGGCCCGCCATTTTCGAGCCTTGCCGCTAATCAGCTTTTGTGCGGTACGAGGCCGTGTCCGTGCGCAGTGCCAGGGGATGGCAGCAGCTCATATTGGGGTGCGCTCGTAGCCCCCCCATGAGGGGAAGCGGATTCGGTGCTGTGTCGCTGTGGGAAAGAAGCTGCTGAGTGTTCGCTGAAAAGAAAAAAAAAAAAAACCATTTGGGCCTCAGCAGTTGGATCATCCGGCAAGTTGGCGCGTACAGTCACCCCGTACCCGATGTATCAGTCGGTGTCCCTGACTACACGTAGCAGAGTAATAGTGCAGTGGGGGGGGGGCATGCCAAGAAACACCTTGCTTGCACACATGGTGCCCTGGGTTTCTTGGGTTTCGATGGTCCTCCGATGGAAACGTGAGGTTCCCTCACCAAAAAACAATGGACACGTTCGGGTCTCAGGGTTAGGTTTCTTGCGGAAGGTTTCTTGTGGACTGGCCTTCATTGTATGCTGAAGCAGATCGCATTATGTGGTTCATTCTGCTAACTGCTTGCTGTTGGGAGCGGCCCGCAGAGGAGCCGAGCAAGGTCCAAGAGGCGTGCGCTGCCCGATGAGCACGAAGTGGCAGGACACAGGGGGATCTGGCAAGTGGCGACGCCTCGCTTGCGATACCGTGGAGACCCATGCCAAGAAAACACCCTGCTTGCCTCCTGGGTTCCCCTGGGTTTCTTGGGCTCCGATGGTTTTGTTGTGCAAAGCGTGACGTGCCCACACCCAAAGTCAGTGGACGCCCTGGCTGGGGTCTCAGGGTTGGGTTTTTTTGTGGAAGGTTTCTTGTGGTCGGGCCCCTACTGTACCAAGTGAAGCTGACGTTCCAGCAATTTGGCGATTGGGGCAGCAGCAGGACAGAGCGTATTCAGGAGCATGAGGCCATGGCGCGCAGGACGGCGCATGCGCACCTGCGCGCACGCTGGTGCCTGTTGTGTGAGAGTAGTCGCGAGAAGGGGTGCACGCAAACGACTAACGTGCATTGCGAGTAAGTGCGCCAGCAGTCACGCGCGCGCGCACGAGAACGAGTTGGGCCCGAGCATGGCTCTTCGGCTGGCGCCCTCAGCTTCCCCGCGCGCCCTGCAGGTCTCCAGAGCTCCTGGAGCGAGTAGTGGGGGTAGTCGCAGAGTGGTAGCCGATGGGGGGGGGGGCAGTGGTGCCTAATATCGTGACTGCGACAGGCTCGTCGGGGGGGCGTTTGTTGATGTCGTGGGGCAGGTGAAGGAGGGCCAGGAGAAGGACGATGACAAGTCTAGAGCCACGAGGTTCAGAAGGGACGGGCTCGGTTTTTATAGGCGCACAGGGTCCTGATTCCAGGAAGCTGACTGGCGGTTCCAGGTTCTCGCCCGATGCACGCCCGTAGGGTTAAGCCGGGCAGGTCCCTCTACAGGAGGAACACTCAAGAATAGTATGAACATAGTCTGGTGACGATTTCCCGCTATGTCTGACAATGTTTGAGCATTGTTTGCATACGTTCTTACTTGTATTCAAAATCCGCCTGTAGGAAGACCTGCCCGACCTAACCTTAGGGGCGCCGCCCTGGGAGCAGAGTGCGCTGGCCGGCGGCCCTGGGATCTCCGCTCCTCGGTGGAACTTCTAATGGGGCCACGAATTGTTTGAGGGGAGTGCTTAGATTGTCTGGGCGGCGGCAAGCGGCCCGTGCTGCAAAAGCCTTCGGCGTAGCATCCTATGGGGCCACGAACCGAACGAAGGGTGTGCTGACACATGGTTTGGAAAGGCGGCGCGCACCCTTTGCTACGAGAATTCTTCGGTGTCGGTGCCCGCCCGTTGGGCGCCTCGTGGGCTCCCCGAGCGCCGGGTGGCCCGTCTGGACTCTCGTCGGGTGCCCGCCCGCGGGCGTTTCGTGCACCTGCGGGTCTCCTCCTGCTCCTCCGCCTCTTGCTCCTGCGCCTCCTCCTCCTCCTTCTCCTCCTCCTCCATCCTCCTCGTCCTTGTCCTCTTCCTCCTCCTCCTCCTCCTCCTCCTCCTCCTCCTCCTCCTCCTGCTCCTCCTCCTCCTCCTCCTCGTCCTCCTCCTCCTCATCCTCCTCGTCCTCCTCCTCCTCCACCTTCTCCTCCTCCTCCTCCTTCCTCCTCCTTCCTCCTCCTCCTCCTCCTCCTCCTCCTCCTCTGCACCGGCGGGCGGTTCCGGGGCTTCGGCGGGTGCGTGCTTGGGGGCGCCTCGTGGCCACCACCTCTTGTGCGCTGCTGGCGGCTCCCGTGTTTCGAGCCGTGGGCGCCTGGTTTGCGCTTCGTGGGTTGGCTGGCGTCTGCACCACAGTTGAAGGAGCAAAAATTGCCATCAGGATAAACTTTTGGCGCTCCGCGCGGATTTCTTGGATCCGCGCTGGGGCCCCCTTGCGGCGCCTCCGGCGCCGCCCCTGGCAGATCCAAGAATCTGGCAGATCCGGGCATCCAGCGCAGATCCAAGAAATCTGCGCAGAAACCTCCCCCCACCAACAGGGGGTAGCTAAGCATCTTTTCATCGGCCTCATTGAAGGACGGGGGTCCCACCAATAGGGGGTAACTAATAGTGTTTTTCCGCGGCACCCGCCGCGAACACCGAAGAATAGCGGGAGGAGAACGAGGAGGAGGAGCGAAAGAGAAGGAGGAGCAGGAGGAGGAGGAGGAGGAGGAGGAGGAAGAGAATAATAAGAAGAAGGGGAGATGGGGCAGGAGGAGGAAGAGGAAAAAGAGGAGGAGGAGGAGGAGGAGGAGGAGGAGGAAGAGGAGGGGCAAGTTTTAGGACGAGTTCACCGCCGAGAAAACAAGGTGGGGACCAACATCATCCCGGCAAAGCAACCTAACAGCGATGTGTATTAGCATATCTGGAAGCATTCCCTTTAAGATTCAGGTGAGAATCCAGTTGTAGAATTCTGCTGTTCTCGCAGTCGCAGTCGCAGTCGCAAGGACAGTTGCAGTGGCAACGGCCTTAGGATCCAATGGAATCCTAAGGATTCCTAGGGATTCCTAAGGCGTCCTTAGGCATCCTTAGGAATCCATAGGAAAACTTAGGAATCCTTAGAAATCCTGATTCCTAGGGATTCCTAGGGATTCCTAAGGAGTCCTAGGGAACCCTGAGGATTCCGAAGGATTCGCCTGCCTCGGCCTCAGCCTCAGCTTGCCTCAGCCTCAGCCTTCTCAGCCTCAGCCTCAGCCTGTCTCAGCCTCAGCCTGCCTCAGCATCAGCCTCAGCCTCAGCCTCAGCCTGCCTCACCCTGCCTCGGCCTCAGCCTCAGCCTGCCTCGGCCTCAGCCTCAGCCTCAGCCTGCCTCAGCCTCAGCCTCAGCCTGCCTCAGCCTCAGCCTGCATCAGCCTCAGCCTCAGCCTGCCTCAGCCGCAGCTTGCCTCAGCCACAGCCACAGCCTCAGCCTCAGCCTCAGCTTGCCTCTGCTCCAGCCTCAGCCTCAGCCTGCCTCGGCTTGCCTCAGCCTCAGCCACAGCCTGCCTCGGCCTCAGCCTCAGCCACAGCCTCAGCCTCAGCGTCAGCCTCTCAGCCTCAGCCTGCATCAGCCTGGGCCTCAGCCTCAGCCTGCCTCAGCCTCAGCCTCAGCCTGCCTCAGCCTCAGCCTGCATCAGCCTCAGCCTCAGCCTGCCTCAGCCGCAGCTTGCCTCAGCCACTGCCTCAGCCTCAGCCTCAGCCTGCCTCAGCTTCAGCCTCAGCCTCAGCCTGCCCCGGCTTGCCTCAGTCTCATCCTCAGCCTGCCTCAGCCTCAGCCTCAGCCTCAGCCTGCCTCAACCTCAGCGTCAGCCTCTCAGCATCAGCCTGCATCAGCCTCAGCCTCAGCCTCAGCCTGCCTCCGCCTCAGTCTCAGCTGGCCTCAGCCTCAGCCTGCTTCGGCCTTCTGAGCCTGCCTCGGCCTCAGCCTCAGCCTGCCTCAGCCTCAGCCTGCCTCAGCCTCAGCCTCAGCCTGTCTCAGCCTCAGCCTGCCTAAGCATCAGCCTCAGCCTCAGCCTCAGCCTGCCTCGGCTTGCCTCGGCCTCAGCCTCAGCCTGCCTCGGCCTCAGCCTCAGCCTGCCTCGGCCTGAGCCTCATCCTCAGCCTGCCTCAGCCTCAGCCTGCATCAGCCTCAGCCTCAGCCTCAGCCTGTCTCAGCCGCAGCTTGCCTCAGCCACAGCCTCAGCCTCAGCTTACCTCAGCTTCAGCCTCAGCCTCAGCCTGCCTCGGCCTCAGCCTCGGCCTCAGCCTGCCTCAGAGTCAGCCTCTCAGCCTCAGCCTGCATCAGCCTCAGCCTCAGCCTCAGCCTGCCTCAGCCTCAGTCTCAGCCTGCCTCAGCCTCAGCCTGCCTCAGCCTCAACTTCAGCCTGCCTCGGCCTCAGCCTACGTCAGCCTCAGCCTGCCTCAGCCTCAGCCTGCCTCAGCCTCAGTCTCAGCCTGCCTCGGCGTGCCTCAGCCTCAGCCTCAGCCTGCCTCAGCCTCAGCCTGCCTCGGCCTCAGCCTGCCTCAGCTCGGGCATTCAAAATATAGCACAGGACTGGTGCTCTGGGAACACGAAGATCACGAAATGGCCCACAGTTGGCTCCAGGCAATCAAAATGTGGTCTGGGAATGGTGTTCTGGGAACACGAGGAACACGAAGTGCCCTACAGTTGGCTCCGGGCATTCAAAATGTTGCCTGGGAATGGTGTTCTGGGAACACGAAGAACACGAAGTGCCTTACAGTTGGCTCCGGGCATTCAAAATGTGGTCTGGGAATGGTGTTCTGGGAACACGAGGAACACGAAGTGGCTTACAGTTGGCTCCGGGCATTCAAAACGTGGCCTGGGAATGGTGTTCTGGGAACACGAAGAACGCGAAGTGGCCTACAGTTGGCTCCGGGCATTCAAAATGTGGTCTGGGAATGGTGTTCTGGGAACACGAAGAACGCGAAGTGGCCTACAGTTGGCTCCGGGCATTCAAAATGTGGTCTGGGAATGGTGTTCTGGGAACACGAAGAACACGAAGTGGCCTACAGTTGGCTCCGGGCATTCAAAACGTGGCCTGGGAATGGTGTTCTGGGAATGGATTCCTAAGGATTCCCAAGATTTCCCAAGGATTTCTATAGATTCCTGGGGCTGTCCAGATCTGTCCGGATCCCGCCCAGACCCCCCTGGGGCGTCAAGATGCTTTCTTTTGAGACCACTAGAAACCTATCAGCAAAAGCTGTTAGGAAACAGAAATCCTCCGTCGGTTAGTTCGCACCAGATGGATTTCACAAAGGAACATATAAATGCCACATCATGCGTTACACCGCATCGGCTTCAACCCATGCGTTGATTGCGCAACTTGTATCGTACCACATAGCTTCTATTTCACGTTTTATAACACGTTTTCATGTGTGCACGCTATTCGTGCTCTACATCCAGAGGGGGAGAACACATATTTTAGGTTCACGCTGGCACGCGACTGCCTATTCGGCCCATTCTGGGGCGATTTTGGACGCGCTGATGGCTGTCAGTGCACGCCAGCGAGTCTTGCAGCGCAAGACCCTGGGGCAGACCCGTTCGTGTTTCGTGTTATTTGGGCACCCGTTTCGACTTGACGTTCTCTTTAACCTTAGCATCGTGAGC